CTTTAGAACAGAAAAGACCCTTTGCCTCCATCTGGGAAGCATGAACACACTATCTGACCCCCAAAGGGGATTAAGAATCTCTGACCACAAAAATTCAGGGCCAAACTCATTAATGCTTCAGAACGTTCACAGCTTCCATAAGTCTTAAAGGAAGCGCACTAACAGCATATGCTGAGTTACACAGGGAAGTTGCTCTTACCCACTGAGACGAGGTTTCTAAAGTTCTCCAGCATCACATTCCAATACAGCTTCCTCTGAGCACATCCCAACAGCGGCCACTCCTCCGGGGTGAAGTCCATGGCCACATCCTGGAATGTCACTGATCCCTGGAATAGTACATTCATCTTCGAACTGTAGTGAGCACCACTGGGGCATGTGGAGGAGATTCAGAGCAATTCCTCTAATTATGTTCACTGTTCAGAGTTTGCAGGAAGTTACATACGACAACTAAAAACTATGTAGTTGATTCAGAACTTAAATTTGTGACAGAAGAAAATCATATTAAAACTCTCCCATCATATACATGCACACACATATGTATATATACATGCATATATATATATATGTATCTATGGAGGAAGAGGAAGAGAAGAGAATAGAAAATATTAAGTTCACTAAGCCTTGCTTTGGCTTCATGTTTTCTGCTTATACAAAGGGACACTGAAAAATGGTCATATGGAAACTGCTACTGCATTTACGACATATCTCCTATATAAACATTCATTAAATTTTTTTCTTTCATAATAAATAAGTGCCAGGAAAACCTTTATCTATGGAATTGTTACACCTTATTCTCTAGGACGAGGCCATAATTGCACTGATTGATTGGGTGTCCTTTTTTATGACTGCCAAGTTTAAACATGAATTTGTATTTCAACATTACAAACTGTGCAGGCCCTATAATCTCCAATCAATTTTTTAACCTTTCTTCAATTTAAATTTCAATGTATATTTTTCCTGTTTATATTCTTACCTCAAAATACTTTTCTACTTTAATATATGGAGTCTTACAAGTCACTGCATATTCACCAGAAAGCAAAACTGAATTTGAATGAATACATGAATGGATAGATGGATGGACAGATGTCTTGCCTGGAAATTGGTCATTGTCTGCTGCTCGTGGGAAAGGACACAGACCTATGAAAACAAGACTGGGGGAGAGGGTGGGAAGGATGTGGTTCCGTGCCTTTCCTGCCTAGAAATAAATACCCATATACCAGCTACAAAAAAGGCTACTGGTGGAAGAATGAGCTTTCAAACAAGCCAGAGAAGTCATGTTCCAGAAGCACCAACTTTTGATTCTGACAGGATTACAGGGAACTTGGACAAGGATGTTCTCCCTTGGGTAGATGCATACATTTCTGCCCTATCGATCTATTACAATTTATGGTTAATTTCTGACCTAGTGACTTCTCTAGAAATAGCAATAAAAATTAATGGATACAAAGATTAAAAGCCTGGATTCCAGAGTCAGGCAATCCAAGTTCAAATTCAGCTACTCCACTTACTAGAGGTATGACCCTGAGAAAGTTACTTAACTGCTCTGTACCTCAGTTTTCTTACCTACAAAATGCTGATAATAATAGTACATACATCACAGGATTTTTATGAGGATTAAATAAGTTAATATATGAAAAGCATTCAGAACAATATGTGGCAAGCACTTAGTAAAATTGCTATTATTTTTAAAAATAAAAAAGGGAGAAAGGGTGAGATAAAAAGCAATGTTTTTACATCATTGCTTATGCTATGAAAACAATGACAATAACTTAAATGTCCATTAATATGATGCTGATTTTTAAAAAAGAGATGCTGTAGAAAGATACTGTTACGGAAAGAGGTTCCACTTATATTTGTAGGTGAAAAAAGTACTTTGACATGTAAAACATGATCCTCTCCTCCCCTTTTAGAAGAATATGCACGCTGACACAGAGACACACAAATTCAGCAGTCCTATATCAAAATGTTAATAATTATTATTTAGGATTGTTAAGATAGCAGGATCATATATAACTTCTTTTTTTTTTACATACCTGTACTTTCTAATTTTTTATAATGCAGTATTTTTCCAACTACATATATATACACACATATAAGTATACACCATTTAAAAATACACACATTAAATTTAAACAAAGGTCTGTAAGGCCCTACACCATCTTGTTCTATCTCTTCTAAGCTCATCTGCTTCAGCCCCTCCATCACTCTCCTCTGACTCACTCTGATTAGTCGCTTTCCTGCTCTTCCTCTAAAATACCAAGGATGATTACTCAGAATTTCTGTACATTTCCTCTGCCTGGACTATTCTTTCTCAGGAAAACTCCAGATCCTGCATGGCTCACTGTCTAAGCTCCTTTGAGTCTCTGCTCACAGCTCACTGAGCAGTGAGGTTTTTCTTGACCACTTCAGGTAAAAGAGCCTCCCTTACTGTCACCATCAGTCTGTACACTCTTACTCTGTCTTTTTCTC